GGGCCCGCATAGTCGTTGAGTCCCACACCACCCCTAGGAACGTAGTCCGTTGGGCGGGCGTCAGCACGCGCTTCTTCGCGGCCAGAGCTGCATCCATGCATTTGGTGAACGTGCGAGGAGAGAGTGCTAGGCCGAACGGAAGAACCCGATACTGGTACGCCGCGCCCCGAAGGCGAACCTCAGGAACTTCCTGTGAGAGGGACTGATGGAGATGTGGAATATGCGTCTCGCAGATCTATCGTGACAAACCAATCCTCAGATTGGATGTGACTGATGATGGCGGGGATGGTGAGCATCCTGAACCTGAATCTCCTCAGAGATTGGTTCAGGGACCGCAGATCCAAAATCGGACGCAACCCATCCGTCCTTCTTGGGAACTATGAAGTACCGGCTGTAGAACCCGGACTCTCTGACTGGCGGGGAAATAAGCTCTCTGGCCCCGTTTTCCAGCAGAGAGCGAACTTCTTGTCCCAACACCTGGCTCTGCCCCGCATGCACCGCAGTCCAGACCACCCCGTTGAACTTCTGCGGGGAGTGGACACGGAACTGCAGCCTATAGCTATCCACTATGGTGCGCAGGACCCACGGGGAAATATTTGCAAGGCTAGTGGCCGGTGTTATGCGTAGGTCCCCGGTGGCACCCTGAAGCAGAGGACCGGCATGAAAAACTCGCCAGCGACCCACGCTGTGTGAGCCCGATCGTTTTCCAGCTGCAACCCCTCGAGGCGGGAAGACTGGTAAGAGCTCGCTGGCGGCTAGCTTGTCCCGAGCGCCAAGACGGCAGGAAAAACAGTGCCTGTTGCCTGAGCCGCCACAAGGGAGGGGACCTCAGTCAGCCTCTCGGGGGGCTGTGGGCGAGAGCACCGCCTCGCGTCCCAGGTTGTTGAGGGGGACTACGGGAAGCGACGCTTCGCTTCTGGCTCCGGCGGTAGGAGCTAGATGAGGGCTGAGCTTGTCTCTCTTCAGCCGTCACCGTCCTGGACCCAGACCGGTGGGGGAGATGTTGCTCAAACGCCTCTCCCTGCATTTCAGCGTGCTGAAACCTACTGACAACAGCATCCACTGCCTCACCAAACAGGCCAGTAGGAGTGAGGGGCACACCCAGGAGAAAAGCCTTCTCCTTCCCCTGGATGCCCGAGAGGTTGAGCCACAGATGGCGCTCCATAGCCACGAATGCTGCCATGGAGCAGCCAATGGAACGGGCCGTCTCCTTGGTAACACGGAGTGTTAAGTCCGACTGAGCTGACTGAGCTCTTCGGAGCTCAGTCAGGTCCTCCTCAGAGGGACCTCCCCCTAGGTCACGGTCTTGAGAAGATCGGCCTGGTATGCCTGCAAGATGGCCAAGGTGTGCAGGCTTGCACCAGCTCGACCCGCTGCCATGTAGGCCTTGCCCACCAAAGCGGATGTCGTCCGACACGGCTTGGTGGGAGCGCCAGCGTCTGAAGGAATGAAGCGAGGGTGCGAGGCATCGTTCCATAGCCGTGCTGCTTAGTTTCTGTCACGCTGCTGTAGTCCAACAGAGGGGAAGCAGTAAGCCGTGCAGAGCAGCTTTTTTTTTCTCTTGGTCTGTTCCATGATTTACACAACTCATTGTGTAAATCAGGAAAGAATGGCAAGGATCGACGCGGGGGTGCAGAAAAGCTCATTGAGGTTACTGCCGGCCCGCGGCTCCTGCCCCGCCTCTCATAGCTGGGCGCGGACTGATGACGTCGGCCCGGCTCCGGAAGTCATCCTCCATGATGCTAAGCACGTCTAGCTCCTCAGAATCAGACTGTGCAAGCCTCTCCAGACTCATACCTCGGGTGGGAGAAGCTGAGAAACGGGCTCCCGAACAGGGAAGACAGGTGGCGGAGTCAGCAGACAAGGAACAGGAAAAAGCCTCGGCAGTCCCGATGCCCTCGGAGATGTCGCAATGGGAGCCCCATGACCGAAGCCGCCGCGCCGCCTCAGCGACCGCCGGGCCCAAGCCACGGGGAGAGCGCATCCGGCTGTCTTCGGAAAAGAGAGCCGCACGGGACCTCAGCACCCTCAGGGGCAGGGCCTCGCAATGGCCGCAAGCAGCCCCCTTGAGAGCTGCCTGGGCATGCGGCATCCCCAGACAGGAAACACACAGGGCATGAGTGTCCCCAGCCGTGATGTAGCACAGGCATGGAAAAACATACCGCCTGAACCGCTCACCAGCCATCTCCTCTGCTTCTCCTTCCAGGTAAGAAAACTTCCTCTCGTGGTTGCTTTTTGAGTAGTATCGAACATGCCAGAGTGCCTGCTGAATAGAAAAAAGCTAATGTGTCCGGTGTGCCACCGTGCTTATATACACCTCCAGTTACGCCGTCACACGCTACCGTTCTAGCAACGCCAATAGGATTGGAGTAGTTTCATTCATGATTTCAGCCCTGCCACGCCCAGAGGCGTTCCCATACTGTCCAGAACAGTAGATGTTGGTTAGCTAGATTTTAGATATTTCTGTAGCCAGTTTTGGCCAAATGAGCCACTTCATGAACGGATCTGGATCGGATCCGGGCCGGACATGAACGGGTCTGGGTGAACGGGTTTTTCCTCAATGGAGTCTGGTGGGCTTTAGCATAGGTTTGTTTTGCTCTGAGATGAGTTACTAGGATTAATTGTTCGGGCAAAACTACATTTCATGACAATCCATGTAGTCACTGATATGATATGTTAGTCTGGACCAAAGTACCAGCTGAGAGCCTGACATTCCCATCCACAGAGCCACATTGATCTTCTTCAATCCAAGTCTAAGTCCAAGTTCTCAATCTTAACCATTGAAACCGAGGTAAACAGAGACAAAACAAACATAGTCACCTCCATCTGTACGCTGCCAGCATTTCCTCTGCTGGTCAGATCAATGTTCCTCCTTTTCTTCCATTTGTAGATGACCAGCAGAAAAACAGCCAACAGGCCACAAACCAAGAGCACGCACACAACCAGAGGCAAGAAGTAACCTGAGTGAGGGACATAGGAGAGAACTGGGAGGAAAGAGAGACAAGTATACACAGTTTAAAAGGGATCTATTTACCTTGCACTGGGAACTTGAGGTGATTTTTATGTGTTGGTCCCTGTTGTTTGTTCTCATGCAAGCACATAGATGCGATCAACCTTCCTACCAAAGGGCACTAACCCACTGATCTAAAACATGGATTTTATGAAGAGGGTATTGCATTCAGGTCAGTTGTTAGACATGAAGCATACACACTGTTTTGGTGAGTAACATTGACTGTACACACAAACATAGTTTTGTCACAGCTCAGGAAATGCAGGATTGGACCCAAATGCCAATGGCAAAATGTTTTCACTGATTTATTGTTAAGGTTTAAGATGAAAGCATTAGATACATGGCACTTTTGACAAGGTGCCATGTAACAAATACTTTCCTTTGAAAACTCCCCTTTATGTTGTTTACCTTGTGGTGGTGGGGAAGCTTGTGTGTCTCTGAGACTGACGGGGGCCTATAGCCCCTATCAGGTTTAACCAAGTCCCTTTGATGCACAACATTATATCTTTGCAATAAATTAATTTCATCATTCAGTATTCCAGATATTCCTCAACTAACTTGTTTTTGAACATTACAAATCATTATTTTAATTAAGTAAATGAAATGTAATTTCATGTGTTTCTTTGCTAGTGGTTTTGAAATAATTTTTCATTTAATAAAATTGTATGAACAATATAAAATATACTGTATGAACAAACATTTTTTACTCAGTTTTCCTGTGATACCGTAATCAGTAACACTTTTAACTTTTTGGAAATTATGCTAAAGAAATGCACCTGCCGACCGTATTCAGCTATGGTTTGTTATGTCGTGATTGCGAGAAAATTATCCCATTATCACAGGAAAACAACATTCGTTATCTTGAGATCACAAGATAATTACCCGTTATCAGTGGAAAATGGAGTAAAAAAAAAATTTAATCGAGGGCCACTTAGGGCTTCCGTACAAAGGAACTGACTTAACGTCATGCATGCTGGACTTAATAACTTATATATAATATGACTTGATATAATATATATAAGGCATGCTGGTTAGAAATTGTGTCCTACAATGTGTCTGATTTGATGGCGCAGTTTTTATACCCCGCCCCTGCAGTCGTCTGGAGTTCACATTTGACTATCAAGTCAGCTGCAGTCATCTCGAACGCATCTACTGACTATAGGAAAGACTGCCTCTGTGGACGCTCATAGACTGTATAGAGGACAATCTAAAAATCATGGTAAGGAGTGAACAGAACTGAGCACATAATATACAGGAGCAAACGGGGAGGGAGAATCAGACAACAGGAACCAGCTCAAAACAACCACCAGACACTGACGATCTCAAAATAAAACAGGAAGAACAGCGTATGGCAATACACAAGGACAAATGTAACAGAGCACAGTAAGAATGCCTTACTAACAGACAAACCAAATCAAAAACACAGAACAGGAACACAGAGACGGAGTGAAACAACAACTAACAAACATGAGGAATGGCAAAAGGAGAATGAAAAACAAAATTATAACAGAGAAAAAGGAAACTTATTGGTCTAGATATTTCTTCTTTTGTTATGTGTTCAAATCAAATGTATATTATTCATGTGTAATAAGAAATAGGGTATGTGTAGCATCTTTAATAAAACCTGATGAGTTTTACATTATGTAGACGTATGGCTGAAGAAGAAAATTACTGTAACATTTTATGTAAAATTTACTTTTCTACGTACTGACCTGTCCTATGTGCTGAGCAGTGTTGTTTCATTTTAAAGTTTTAAGAACATTTGTTTTGTTCATAATGAAGTTGGAAGAGAGTCACTGATTGGCAGGACTAACAATTCACTGTGAACTGTACCTGTCGGCTGGTTGGTGGTTTCAGGGAAAGCTGGTGAAGATGTGAAACTTCCCGAACTGGAGCTCTGAGTTGTTGCTTGTGTGGAGGCTGATGGGACTGATGTTGGTCCAAGATTCAAGTCTGGTTTTGAAGTGGTCGGAGCTGTGATCAATGAAAACATTGGATGCTCATTGATAGATAAATAAATCATACACAAAGAATATACAAGTTTTTTTACAAGTTGGTTTGTTCAGTTAATGGTCACAAAAGCAAATTCTGAGTACTTGATTTTAGCTGATGAGAGAAGGTCCATGTTCTCCTGATCAACACATTACACAGGTATTAATCTGTGATCATTCAATGCAAATGTGATCATTAAAATGTACTGCTAGGGGTTAAGGTGCACACCATTAACCATCTCTGGTCCACCGTGGACTTCTCTTTTTGAATTCACATGCTCTTTTTGTGACATTCAATTAATCAAAAACTCACCATCTATGACCATGAATTTAATCCTGTTGGATGAATCTGGAGACAGAGCTCTGCCGTAACCACACCTGTACTGTCCTGTGTCTGACTTGGTCACCTGTGTGACGCTCACATACAGTCCAAATGCAGATCCTTCTTTATATTCGATGCTGTATCTGCCACTCTGAGCTCTGTTCTCATCTGTTTCAATGATGATGTCCTCTTCTTTTTTACATTCGTTCTTACAGAAGAACTTCTGCCTTCTGTAGTTTGTTACGCTGCATCCACGTGTGACGTTTTCTCCTTCAGTATATGTTCGGATAAAACCAAAGTTTCCAGCTAGCGGTGCTGTTGAAACATTGAAAAGAGGAACAATCATTAGTTACTTTCTGTTCTTCCTGTAAGACGCGTCAGATCACAGTACTTCCTGCTTCACATTAACACAGATCCACAGAGTCACACTGAGAGCTGCCCAGTTCAACCACAGGCTGTGACTAGAAGGGAAATCATTTGATCTATTATTTATAAATTGTCAACACCAAGTCCATACATCATAAATAACTCACATTTATCCCACTATTTAATAATTATGTATAATCAATAATAATACGGGTACTAAACATGTTGAATATACTAAATATATCCGGTTTATGACTTTCAGTAGAAACTCACCATCTGAAACTCTGACCTCTAAGTCCCTGAATGATTCTGGAACCGAAGTCCCGCCCAGACCGCACCTGTACCGTCCTGAGTCAGACTTGGTTAGATGTGTGATGGTCACAGACACAATTCCTCTTCCAGAAGATCCATCTCTGTATTCAATGCTGTATCTGCCACTCTGAGCTCTGACATCATCTGTTTTAACCAGAATATCTTCTGCTTTACATTCGTTCTTACAGAAGAACTTCCTGCTTCCAGACGGAGTCAAGTGGAAACTAATTCCACCAGTTCCTCCCTCAGCTCCTGTATAAATGTAGACTTTTGCGCTGACGAGCCCAGTGTTTCCACCACACAGTGCTGTTGGAAAGATGAACAGAGAACCCTGATGGTCAGTACTTCCTGTGTTGTACAACTATGAGAAACAACAAATAATGGATGATGAATATTAAGTTTAAATTGATTAACATTTCATTACAGTGGGCTGGATTAGATTGTGGAAATCACAATCACAGCAACTGAAAAACACGCGTGTGTGCTGCAGCTTTAAAGAGACAGTCAGGTAATCAGTCCTCACCTGAGAAGAAGCAGAAGAACAGAACACAGTGGATATTCATTCTGAGTTTGATCCTGATGGAGACAAATCATTCAACTGCAGGAGAACTGCCTCTATCACTTCACTCCTTCCACTCTGATCAGTCAGGAAGCTGAAGGTGGTTTAATTAAACATTTCCTTCCTCTATGTCTCTGTGTGTCTGTTAGTTTGCTATAATTAGCTGCACTCACAATATACTGACTGAAAATACTATTAAATCATACATTTAAAAGAATGTAAGGAGGCAAAGAGAAAGTTCTGTGCATTTCAACAGCCAGTCCAGTTCAAATTTAAAGTGAAGACTAATTGTCAGATCAGTAAGAGACTTGCTTAAGCTACCTTTGTGAGTTGAATTAAACTGAAAAGCGGAGGTTTCCTGTTTCTGTGTTAACATCTCTGGTTGACACACAGACAGTTATTGCAAGTCTGAGTCTGCGTTTCTGAGCTGCTGACCATGAACCATCGACCATCATTATCTGACCATCAACGACCAGTCAGATCAGTTTCTTTAGAGTTACACCCTAGCAATGACTCACTATCTGCAACCCAAACAAAACACAATTAACAGTTAACTCTTTACAGTTGTTGCAATTATCTTATTTTGTACAATTGTATATTATACAATATGTATAAATATAATAGAAAACAACTAAATTACCCTTAACATTACATGAGTATGCTCCCAAAAAAAACCTCTTACCCTGGCTCTCCTCATACCAGTTGTTGTTTTTGGCAACCCTACAATACAGTTTCAGTTTCAGCCTCGTTTTATTTTTTTTTAAACGATAATAACCTCTACATGTGGGTTCTTGTGTTCTTCTTCCTGTTGTCTCTACAGATTAGTTACTGGAAGGACTGGCGAAATGTGGACTCTTAATAATAAATATATAAATATGAACATGAAATATAAAAATATTGAATATAAATATAAGGTAGAAGGATAAATATGCATGAAAAGGAAGTAGTCATTCTGTGTACCGTGTGAGTGCATGGGTCATAGTCTTACAAGCCTCTGGATGAGGACTGAGCATAGGTGTCTGACTTTAAAATGGCAGTGGTGTCAGAAAGCAGTTTTGTGTGAAACATTATCAGCAATGCTGTTTATAATGGGCAATTAGTGCAAACATATCAGTACAGTGCAGGTAAAGGAGCAATTTCAGTGACATAAGCAGTACAACCCACAATGCTACTTTGACTAACAGAGTTACAGAAACTTTTTTCCTATTTGTGATTAAAAAAAGCTCTGGTTAACACTGCCAATCAATAAACAGCCGCTGTGTCTCCAAACCTCAAAACCAAAGTATCCTCCAGCAGCATTACTGCAAACTGAATGTGGCAGCCCATTTTGTCCCACACAAAAAAGTGTTTGTTTTTTTACTTCTTCTGTACTCTAATTAAGTTGGAGTTATAGTTGATTTCTTCCACAGAGCTGGGACAGTGTGAGTATTCAACGACTGTTGAAAAATAGGGCACCATGCCGTTGTTAGTTCTTCTGCACAGCTTTTGAGCAGAAAGGCTGGGAGGCCATCGGGGCCTGTGTTCTTGCGCATGCGCACTTTGCTGAAGAGTCGTTGGATGCTAAATGGGTCCACTTCCAGGGCTGTTTTACTGGACTACAACAGTTTTAGCTTGGTCCATCTTATTAACAGAAACTAGTATTTAATGTACATGGATATTCTGTGCAAACAAAAGCTAATGCCACTTTTTAGTCACAAGGTGGCAGCGTTGGCTCACAATACAAGAAGAATTTGGTCTTACACACGTCCTATATGTTGTCTTTTCCACAGATTTCTCTCGGTAGTTCTGCATTTCAACCACGATGGAAGCTGAGAGGTTGCTGTGATGGTGTGTTATATTCTATAAACATGTTTTTCCTTTCCCCAGCAGAGGCATCAACTCTCATGGAGTCCACTGCACCTGCCCCGCTTAGCAGATCGGCCAAAAGATCCTCATGGATGGATGAAGCAGTCGGCCGTTGTCTGTTAACGGTGTAGGACATAAATGTGAAACCAGATCAGTCCTACAATTAATTTTAACCATTGGCCAAAGACATACTCAGTCACATCAGTCTGTTTGTAAGATCTCTAAATAACATCTCTAAAAGAGAGTTAATCTGGTAAACAAATATGTCTCAGCCAACGCTTGAGGTGTGACTTTTGTTGTTTTTGTTTTGTCAACACTGCAAGAAATTATTTTGTTTTGTCTCTGTATTTAGTTAAAAGAATGGTCTGTGTGTATTTCCATGTAGAGCCAGTAGATGTTATTTAAAATATTTTTTAATAAAATCTTGAGAATTGTACAGCTTTGGTTTGCTCTTGAGTCTTTTCTAGTTTAAAATGTTTCATTTTGACCCATTTGGTGCATCCACACATTTTAAAAAGTTCCAA